TAAAGAGTGTAAAAAAGTGAAAAGTGAAGCGTAGTAGCGCTGATATATTGGAAATAAATAAAGTAATTGTGTCATTGTATAACTAAAGAAAAGTGTATTATTTTTACGGGTTTTCTGGGAGGACTATATCATCATCACCATCACCTCAACATCCTCAACTAGGTCTATATTATTTGGTTAAAGAGGAAGCAACAACTTCTACTCGGAACCACAACATTTAAACTCTTGCTGTGCAAAATCGATTAGATTTTGTAAATCTGAATCATCACGGTAAGAATGTATTATTTTATCAGTAAATTTGTCTTCCAAGAATGAATTCATATTTTGAGGAAATACAAAACCCATAATTGCAATTGCCATTTCAAGTAGGAAAAACAATAAAAGACACATAGAATAAAATTTCAGTAGACAAGTATTTTCACGTAGAGCACCCAAACAGCCAGCGAAGCTCACAACAAAAACAACTACTCCAGCAATAACCATTACAAGCGATATATTTAATATAACATCATAGAAAGTTTCTAAACGTACCCAGCCCGTTGAATGCCATTTGTCCATGAATGCGTACATACCAATGCCAAGCAGGAGTCCACCAAAAAGCCAGAATATGGAGTTTAACATAAATATCATATACTTTACGCAAGAGCTAACGTACGTAAAATTATGAATTCTTGGATGCATATCTCTTACTTCTATACCACAATACCCGCTGTGATGGCGATAGTTACTCATTGATTACTTTGTACTTGTGTGAATTATTTGCACTCAAATTGTCCAATCAGTTTATTAGGGGGTGTGTTCAGATATAAGTTGATGAACGCTGTTATATTTCAGCAAGTAAATTATATTGCTCAATTAATCAGTGGCTTTTACAATTCCAAAAAAAACCTTAGTTTATTGTTTAACATTAAGGTAGGCAAATTTAACGTTTTTCCAGTTTTCTTCTTTGTGCTGTTAATTACACTAGTTTACAGCCAAAAATTTCCAAAGACGAGACTCATATTTTCTATAGGGAAATTTTCCGTAGAACTCGAAAATCATAACGATTTTTTTTTCCTATGTACCGTTTTCGTTATTTTGACTTTTCTCAAAACATCACCCTGCATATTCCCCCATAGCTTTTTTTCTGAAGTTATCTCGGTAGTATATTATATATCAAATTAAAGGTGAAACTTATACCAATATTTTGAGTTACATAACGTTAATGTAACTTACTTAGTTTAGCTGCTATAGCTAGAAATGTGCAGATGAAAAATGTTTTTTTTACGCTTTTTTCAACTTTTTCGGACTCCCACAAATATATTAAAAAAAAATTTTTTTTTTAATTAATGTTAAAGACTGTTTTAGTACAAATATTTTGAGTGGCTTAACATAAAAATCGAATAAAAATTTCAGAAGTTATTTGCCATTTTCCAAAGTTGCCCAAAATAGTGGGTTTTATTAAGAAGTCAGAAAAATCATTTTTTCGAATTTATTTTGTAAAATTTAGAGTGCAAATCAAAACTGTATTATGCAAAATTGCACAAATTTTATTTAAAAAATTAAAATTAATATTATTTAATATTAATATATTGCATTTTATATAAAAGTTTGACGTCGAACGTGGAACTGCATTATTGAAAGTTAATTTATATATTATAGTGAGGTATATATGTACTTTGAGCAAACTTCTTATAGTGTGTAGGATTTGTTTCTCTTATAATTGTCCAACAATAATCTCCTAACATGCTTGCGTCCCAATACCCTTGATATCTTTTTTCCATTGCAGAGATATTCTGATGAAACCTTTCACCTTGTTCATCACATTCTGCACCGAGATTTGAAGGAAAAAAGTCCACACGAGAGTGCACGAAATGCATTTTTAGAGAAATAGTTGCGCCAAGAACTTTGTTATTTTCAATTAAAGATGAAATAATTTCTCTATAAAGTGAATCTCTTTCGTTATCCAAGAAGCCGATAACCATTTGCTTAAACGAAGTCCATGCTTTCAACTCTTCTTTATTTAACACATTATTAAATTTTTCATCCCTCATCAGTTTTTTGATTTGTGGTCCAACAAAGATTCCTTCTTTAATTTTGGCAAAAGAAATGCCGGGAAAAAAATGTGTAAAATATTCGGACACAGGGGTTTCGTTTTTTTACAGAGCCTTAACAAAATTTTTCATTAGGCCAAGTTTTATATGCAAAGGTGGCAAAACTTTCTGACACGGTTCAATAAGAGCTTTATTTGCGATATTTTGAATTCCTATTATGAGATCTTCGTTTTTTGGCTAAGATGAACGTAGGAAATGATCCTTTGTTGCTCTGTACTTTAGTCAAAAAATCAACCTTTAGATTGGCGCATAGCTTCCAATTGAATTCGTTATATTGAATTAACTTTAAAACTTTCGCAACTTCATCATAGGTTTCCTTTACCCCAACGGCATGCGCTAATGGTATAGTGAGAAGTTCATTGCCGTTGTGAACAACAGCAGATCTTAAACTAAATTTTGAACTATCTGTAAAAGACACCATTCGCTAGGATTACACCTTATTTGCAATTTCTTAAAAAGACCTTTAATATCACTGCAATAAACAGTTTGATGGAATTTTTTGAGAAAAAATGAATAAGCTTTGCTTCTGTTGCGATATTCAGTTACTCTTGTGGATTCACTTAAGCAGTTATACTGTTGGAGACGTGAAGACGTGAGGCTCACTATGAGCTTTTGATAAATGTAAGTCTCTAGTTAAATCGTTTAATTCAATTTGTGATATAAAATGATTTGCGGTTTCACTCGTAGAACTCTCAAATAAAACTTTATTTTCATGTTCACTATTGTTGTCTTGCATATTTGGTGGAGTTGGTTGAGCAGTCGCATTGCTTCGTGAAACTGGCTTAATTACTGATACTATTTCTGGATACTTCAGAAATCTTATTTTCTTTGGCGACGTCATACATTTAAGATTTATGATGCAGAAATAACACTGAGAATGGTTTACAACCTCTTTCCAAAATATTGGTACACAAAAGTTCAAATATTGTTTTCTTCCAGTAAACCACCTTTTAAGTGTAATCCTGCAGGTTAGACACACTCCATTAGAAGTCCCCGGTTTATCTTGCTTAGCCATAGCAAATCCCAAAAAGAATCGTATGGTATCATATAATACCAATTAGTAGTTTAATAAACTAACGTTCGACGTCAAACTTTTATATAAAATGCAATATATTAATATTAAATAATATTAATTTTAATTTTTTAAATAAAATTTGTGCAATTTTGCATAATACAGTTTTGATTTGCACTCTAAATTTTACAAAATAAATTCGAAAAAATGATTTTTCTGACTTCTTAATAAAACCCACTATTTTGGGCAACTTTGGAAAATGGCGAATAACTTCTGAAATTTTTATTCGATTTTTATGTTAAGCCACTCAAAATATTTGTACTAAAACAGTCTTTAACATTAATTAAAAAAAAAATTTTTTTTTAATATATTTGTGGGAGTCCGAAAAAGTTGAAAAAAGCGTAAAAAAAACATTTTTCATCTGCACATTTCTAGCTATAGCAGCTAAACTAAGTAAGTTACATTAACGTTATGTAACTCAAAATATTGGTATAAGTTTCACCTTTAATTTGATATATAATATACTACCGAGATAACTTCAGAAAAAAAGCTATGGGGGAATATGCAGGGTGATGTTTTGAGAAAAGTCAAAATAACGAAAACGGTACATAGGAAAAAAAAATCGTTATGATTTTCGAGTTCTACGGAAAATTTCCCTATAGAAAATATGAGTCTCGTCTTTGGAAATTTTTGGCTGTAAACTAGTGTAATTAACAGCACAAAGAAGAAAACTGGAAAAACGTTAAATTTGCCTACCTTAATGTTAAACAATAAACTAAGGTTTTTTTTGGAATTGTAAAAGCCACTGATTAATTGAGCAATATAATTTACTTGCTGAAATATAACAGCGTTCATCAACTTATATCTGAACACACCCCCTAATAAACTGATTGGACAATTTGAGTGCAAATAATTCACACAAGTACAAAGTAATCAATGAGTAACTATCGCCATCACAGCGGGTATTGTGGTATAGAAGTAAGAGATATGCATCCAAGAATTCATAATTTTACGTACGTTAGCTCTTGCGTAAAGTATATGATATTTATGTTAAACTCCATATTCTGGCTTTTTGGTGGACTCCTGCTTGGCATTGGTATGTACGCATTCATGGACAAATGGCATTCAACGGGCTGGGTACGTTTAGAAACTTTCTATGATGTTATATTAAATATATCGCTTGTAATGGTTATTGCTGGAGTAGTTGTTTTTGTTGTGAGCTTCGCTGGCTGTTTGGGTGCTCTACGTGAAAATACTTGTCTACTGAAATTTTATTCTATGTGTCTTTTATTGTTTTTCCTACTTGAAATGGCAATTGCAATTATGGGTTTTGTATTTCCTCAAAATATGAATTCATTCTTGGAAGACAAATTTACTGATAAAATAATACATTCTTACCGTGATGATTCAGATTTACAAAATCTAATCGATTTTGCACAGCAAGAGTTTAAATGTTGTGGTTCCGAGTAGAAGTTGTTGCTTCCTCTTTAACCAAATAATATAGACCTAGTTGAGGATGTTGAGGTGATGGTGATGATGATATAGTCCTTCCAGAAAACCCGTAAAAATAATACACTTTTCTTTAGTTATACAATGACGCAATTACTTTATTTATTTCCAATATATATCAGCGCTACTACGCTTCACTTTTCACTTTTTTACACTCTTTAATACTTGGTCAAGCGCTACTGCGCTTAACCTCTTCACAATTCCAAGACGTCAGTTCCAATTTTGAACTCGTCTTATATACCTAAACTTGATGCAAAAATCCAATATATGACCTAGTTACGTTATTGGGTTTTTCCCATAGTTGTATAATTTATTTTGCTAAATTCGCAAAGTTTTATTATTACAAGAATGCTCCACATATTTTTGCAATTCTTCCGTATTCAATATTTTCAAAGTCACTTACATCATGACACCAATTACTAACCAATTACCAAAAATCAGCATTTCTTATCGTCGAACTGACGGTCTGATGCTTTGGTTCTAGTCAATAACTGCCCAGATGCAAACAACCTCGCCTATTTTTAGAAAAATATACGATCAACTAAAATTGCAAAACGTAAAGTTAAATGGACTAATTATTTAACTCATAACAATTGTTATTCGTGCACGCTCAAATGGATGATTATAACAACTATAATAACTTCTTAATGCACGAAAACCACTTTTTATAGAATCCCCTATTTGTGGTGAATTTTCATTATTTAAATAAGACAATTTTTGGTCTCGTAGTTATGTTTCCATGACATATGTCATCGATATGCATATGTTGTATAATGTTTGGATCGGCATCGACCATTTTTTACATGTTGTATGCATCGGGCTTTATTTTTTTAAAGTACTCCTTACAAAAATAAAATATATTTACTATTGCACTGAAAAATTTAATTTTGTTATAAAATCTTATAAATCTCGTTTAAAAGAAATCCGTGCTTGACCAATTCAGGCACAGATAAATAATTAATTGTGGGTATATATTAAAATTGTATATTAAAAATATTAAAAAGTGACAAATAGTATACGGTTTAAGGAAGGCTTTTAAGTAATTAAATTGTTTTTATATTATGTTATATACAAAGTTTAAACTTGATTTTATACCAAACATCAATAACATATTGCTTACATTTTAAGCAGCTTTCAATATATTCACTTTATTTGCTTTTCATGAATTTAGCTCCAATGAATCACGCCTAATAAAAGCAGATAGGATAGGATAAGGCAGGCCTCAACTAAGCCGCTAAGTCAATGGACCAAACGATAAATTTGCATTCGCCTGCAATGAAAACGCGAGTGCAAGTCGCCAAATTTTTCCTGTTTTTCGATAAAAAATTTTTAATTTACAGT